TTTAATTCATTATAATTTGCGGACGACCCCGAGCTCAATCAAATTATTTCCCATCAAGACCATCTTTACTGTGTCTTTACAAGCATACCAATCAGTCATTATAATTCCATCATAGTGCAATTCCTCTCTTAATACCTCATAAAATTCTCTTCTCTCTCCTGCGTACTCTCCGTTGATCTTATTATATGAAGTCATTAGAGCCATTGGTTTTCCTTCTTCAATTGCTATTCGAAACGGTTCCAAGTAAATTTCCCTGAAAGCTCTCTCACTCATTTTAACGTCGACATACTCTCTCGACGTCTCTTGGTTATTTGCTATAAAGTGTTTGACACAAGCCGATATCCCATTGTTCTGAATTCCTTTTATATAATACGCCCCAATCTCTCCAGCGACTCGGGGGTCTTCCGAAAAGCATTCGTAATTCCTTCCTGCGAGTGGATGTCTGCAAATGTTAATAGCAGGGCCAAGAAGTACCCCAATGTTCTCTTCAACACACTCCGCCCCAATCGCCTCACCTTCTAACTCAGCCAATTTCGTGTCAAACGTCGCAGCAAGACACATCCCTGTCGGAAACGCTGTTTTGTTTTTCACAAACATTGAAATGCCAATTCTGAGGCCATTGGGTCCGTCACACATGTTAATTGCTGGAGAAACGTTTTCAATTGGATATGTCATTCCAGCACATCCAACTTTGAAGTTTCTCATTTCAAGAAATGATGGACCGTGAAAGATCGGGGACATCACTGTGATATATTCGCCAACTATCAATCTCAACTTTTGATACTCTGACAACTCGGCTCCTGTGTTCTCAGAAGACATTGCTAAATGTTTTAGTATAGTTCAATTTATAGTTCTTTTTGGTATATTTTAGTAATTGTTGTGTTTGTGCAATTTTTGAATGAAAAACAAACTTTTTTGTGTGAAAAAAGTTCATTTTATGTGGAAAGCCATTTAACATTTATTACTAAATTTATAGTAAGATAAATTATAAAATATGGTATATTTAACATTTTTGAATTTGGTTACAAAACGTTACTTTGCCGTTTTATAAAATTCTGTGGTGAGTGTTTCGTCGATGTATTGGTATTCTGCAAGGAGTCTCCAAACGGTTTTCTACATATCAATTTAAGTGCTTCAACTTATATCAAACAAACTGCGCAAACGGTCGACGTGTTGCTGAAAGATCTTAGAAACAAGACAACTCTTTTGTTGATTGGGTGTGGTGGAACGACACGTTTGCTTTTCACACGAAGCCACAAAAATGTTATTATTAATGTTATTAGTGACGGAGTTTTTGTAGCCAAAGCACACATGTTGATTAAAATCTCTTGGTTTAGTAATACCTCAACTTTCCATCCATCTACCCCTTTCCCACAAAACAATGGAAAGTCATTGGCCCGACACAGAGTGACGTACCTTTTTTTGAGCGATGTGATAAATATAGTTTATTTAATTATAATTTATAGCAAAAAACAAACATTTCAAAGAGGTTTTGTTGATGTTTTTGGGTGAGAAGTAACATGAGAGGGTTGAAAAAATCAAAAGAAATTTGTGGAGCAATTTTGTTGTTAATTTCAATGACGAAAATATCTCCACTTTGTCGCAAATGAACATCCGGGTTTGCCAAAACTAAAGTGTCCGCACAGGATTGGAGATATGACACATCAGACGGGTCGAATCTCAAAATTCGCAAAAGGAGATCATACGTGTAACTTTCTTTAAGCCCACTTGCTCCACACTTTTTCACAAATTCCTTCACGCCATTCCGTTCAAGAAAATCTGATAGAATCTGAAAAGTTGAGGTAATCTCGGTACAAATGTATTGGTATTTTACAATACTACCAATGGTTTTCGTTGCGGAACGAGGACGAGAAAGTGATGGATTGTCAATCATGGGTGATTCTCTCACTTTATCATTGGGCGGAACGACACAACTGAAGAGACTGAAATTTTCGAGTCTTTTCAATGCTTGGACAATTAAAAAATCGTCCTCAAGAGGATATAATAATTGTTTAAGTTCTTTGGGAACCTCCATTATCAGAATACCCACAAAAACATCCAATAACGTCTTCTCGTCACTTTGAAGTGTATATGAAAAGTCAATAAACGTAGTAACAAAAGCTTTAAGAGTTTCAACACTCATTGTTTCAACAATTTCCCAAAACACTTCAACACTCTTTTTTTGAAATTCACTGACAATAACCAACGAAACGTTTTTGATCTGAGAATCGTCTGGTATTGAAATCCGACTCACGTTCTTCAAGAGAGTCAAAAATAGAGGTATACTTTTCTCATTGAAATATATCCCCGACGATTTTAAGTTTGAAATGTTTTCGAAAAAGTTTGCTTGACAATTCCGCACCCCAAGGACTCTCTGAAATCTGAAGGAATTGGTTGTAATTTGTCTTTCAATTTGTTGCAATAATGTAATCAAACAAAACATGAGATCATCTGAACTTTCAATTTTGAATCGATTTGGAGTTTTGAATTGGAAAATTGTTTCATATGGAAGCACCGAGCGTTCGCTCACTTTATATGAAATAGTTTCAAACTCGCTTAAAATGAGTGAAATACAATTTTTGACGTATTCCAAGTACTCGTCATTTTCCGTTTGTTTTAGAACTTCGCCGATTGTTAAAGCCATTTCATACGCCGACTCATCGCCAAGAATCTTAACAACACTTTTTAACACACTTTTTAGACTTAATAGTTTTAAAACTATTTAAAAAACGCAGATAAAGTTTCCTTTTGTGTTGAAAAATGCAGTAAAAAGTCCAAAGAAATTGAGACGAGTTCTTTTACTTTTTCGTGATGAATTTCTGGTATTTCGAGTGTGTCAGAAAGTAACACCCCAAAATGATGTTTGACACAACCAGACGAGTTGTTATCTAATCCATTCCCACACCAACAAAACCAAATTCCAGTGAACGGCTTTGTTTGGTGGAATTTGTGGATACCATTTTCAAAGCAATCATGGCACATTACTGTGTGACACGTAATGCACTCGATACCGTCCTCGATAAGTTTTGAACATACTTCACTTGTTGATCCAGCATACTTCATCTCAATTTCGGTTATGTCATTAAATCCCAAATATTCCAGAACCATTTGACTTATATCAAACGAGTTGTTACTTTCTATCAGTTGTGTTACTTTGGTTGTAAAACTTGTCATTGTTTTTAAAGTTCTTATTAATTATATTTATAGTTTATTAATAGTTTATTAATAGTTTATTAATAAGTATTAGATTCATGTTCTAATATAATAAAATGGTAAATTAAAACTAAATTATGAAATTTGTTTTTTTAATAATTATTAATAAAAAGGGTGATATTTTCGACCCGCAACTACAAATAGAACAAAAAATGTTATATTTTTTGTTATCTACAAAAATGTGTTATATATAACAAAAAGAAAAACTACAAATATCAATTTTATAATTAATTTTAACAATTACAAAGACTTAATAATACATTTATATTTATTATTTAATTATTATTTAATTATAAGGTTTGTCAGTTAAATACCCTTTTTCAAATTAATATATAAAACAAACACAAATGGTAGAGATACCAAGCTTCAAAATTTGAGATTTAGGAGAAGGTTATTTTACACCAATTGAAGTTGAAAAAGGACTTGAATCAATTTGTAAGTTAATCAACAGAGACAATGCAACAAAGTTGATAAGAGAAAACTCTAGGTATCGAATTGAAGGACACGAGGTCTCCCTTTATGTATCGAGGGATAGTGGAGGACTCAGAAAAAAATTTGTTTATAAGTGTGTAGAGTCAAAAAATGGTTGTGGTGCCTTTCTTGTTATATATTTTAAAACTTGTGTATCAAATGTTGTTGAATCAATTGAATTGTGGACTCGTCACAACCATACATTCACTACACCTCCTCGGTCTCAGTGTGCAGTTAGAATGAGCGAAAAAACAAGAAAGATAGTTGAAGAAGATGCTAAAATGAATGTTCCGCTAAATATAACCAAGACAAAAATAGGGGATAAATATTCTAAAGATGTCCTTTATGAGCATAGGTGTAAATTCTTAGGTATTTTGTCGAAAGATCAATGCAACGAATTAAAAGATTATACAAAGACATTAACAACATTCGACACACAATTTGTTAACAACTCCTGTGGTGTATTTGATGAATGTTTCTTTTTTAATAACAATATCTGTGTAGATTTGTGTCAGAAAAACTTTTTTTAGATGACACTTTCTGTACGAATAAATTCCAACTTCCAATTGAAGCTGCATTATGTAAAGATATCAATGGAAACTCACAGTTGATTGCATTTGGATTCATGAGACATCGATTTACATCATACTATACTGACTTCTTGGGGTTTTAAAAAGTTGTTTCTTTCCAATTAAGTGTTTTGTGACTGACAGAAGTATTGCACAAACAGCAGCTATCAAAGAAGTGTATCCAGATGTTGATCTTGTGTTTTGTCACAGACATATTAAACGCAATTTAATCTCTGCATTTGGAATAAACTCCAAAATTGTTTCAAACTTTGAACTGTTAATTAATGGAACTATAAAAAGCGAAGATTTTTTTCTCTCTTTATACAAAACTACAATTGTGTTGATAGTATAGTGGAAAGTGGGGATACATGTGTCGATAAGAATGAGATATTTGCCGAATTCATTGATTATTGTAACGGAGAACAACCAACTACAGCTTTTGAGTTGAAGTCCAAAGATAAAAAACGTTTTTTGAAACAGTTGATTGACATTAAATTCAATTGGCTTCCGGAGTTTACAAAGAGACACACGAAAGACACGACTACATATGTTGTAGAAGGTTTTTTCGGAACTATAAAACAAAGAACTGGTGGTAAAATAATAAGGTTAGTGGAAGTTACAACTATATTTATAGAAAAAGCCAGAAAGTTGTTGTTCGATAGTGTCACTGGATTCAATGATGAAGACTTTAAAATACTCACCAAACTCATTGGAGTTGAAGCTGCCGCAGAAATACGTTGTGATTGGGGTAAAAAGTTACTTAATTATTATTCAATGTTGGACAAATTTGGACCTCTCAAAACAAGCAGTAAAAGAGTGTGTACTTGTGTTGATTTTGTTCAACATGGAAGGTACTTTCCTTGTTTTCACCAAGTGTATTGCAATTTCTTTGACCCCGGAAGAAATTTAAGGAAATCGCTTTATTCAAAGGAGGATTTTGGGAAGGAAATATTTTTAGAAAAAACTAAAATAGCCAAACATGAGTTTTATCAAAGTACTATGAATAATTCATTTTTCAACTGGGAAAGAAGGGACCACATTGTGATATTCGATGAAATGGTCGACGCGATTCTCAAAAATGCCACTCTAAAACAAAAGTGGTTCGAACTTGTCAGTTCGGTTTATCATTCGGAAATTACATCGGAAAATGTGTTAAAAGGGAATGAGGAGTTGCAGGAGTTCGAAGGTGAGTTTAGTTCAAAAGATCCGGTTGTACTTCTTTCTGCAAAGGTGAAACCAGCCAAATTGGTAGACTACGTCGAAAAACCTTTCTCCACCAAGGTCTCCAAGAAACGAATGGAATTTAAACCTCTTGGACCAACACTTCAAAAAATTGAATTGAAAGGTAATGTTTGCAAAATATGCCTTGGGAGAGGACATATGGCAAAGTGTTGTCCTTCTTGGAATAAAACAGAAAATTTCGATCGGTTAAATATATTCATTCAGTCTTTAAAAGGAGATAAGCGTACAGAATTCGAATTAAAACATAAAAAAGTCGTTTGAATTTCAGTTGTAATTAGATTTAATATGTACATAAAAATAATAGTTAAAATATAATATTAAACCATTAACAAATTATACCAAAAAATTGTTAATTTCAATTGAAGTAAATGTGTTGTTTATTGCGTGTATATGTATTAACAAGACAAAACAACGTTTTTATATTATAGTATAACATCATTATAATGTTTTGTAATATTTTGCGTTGTTTTATTAACACCAAATGTTTAAAAACCATAGATTGATGGCGTTTAAACACAAAATTTGAAAACTGATAAAAAAATGAATAGAATAATTGAAATTTATTGTTTTTTCTTTTTGTTATATATAACACATTTTTGTAGATAACAAAAAATATAACATTTTCTGTTCTATTTGTAGTTGCGGGTCGAAAATATCACCCTAATAAAAACTAATTATTTTGAAATTAAAATTTTTATTAAAATTTTTTATACTAGAGTTTGTTGTAAAATGTCGTCCCAGTCTCCAAAGTTGTACTTTTTATCAATTTATACACAAATAATTGTTTAAAACCCCGGGATTTAGGTAAAAATTGAAATAATTGGGAAAAAACTGAAAAGACGATTTTTTTGTGTTTAAAACATGATCCCGATATTTTTCAATTTTCATTGACCAAAAAGCCCAGGACAACGTTGGCGACGGGACAACGTTTTCCCACTAATCTAATAATATTAGTAACCACAAAGTCATGACATTATGGTGTTATTTTTATCTGATTTAATGGTTAGACAAAAGCTATCAATTTAAATATAAAAATTATTATTTAAAAATGATTAAATAAATCTTGTGTCTAACCAGGTGTTTCCAAAATATTTATTGCCGAAAATGTAGTGCGAATTTATAAGAGAAAATGAACATTTTGGTTATGAAATGGTGACGTGGGGTAATTAGGATTGTGATTTTGGAAACCTCTGGTCTAACTATGTTCATATCCTTTAATTGTATAATAAAAATAAAAAAAATAATCGTGGTTAGAATTGTATTAAATTGATTCACTTTTCATTGGAATTATTTAAAAATATATAAAGTCTGTCTAAAAACGTTGTCCATTTGACAAAAAATTACACAAAATAAGTTTAAAAATTTGGGAATTAAAAAAACGATCAAATCCCGGAAAAATTATGAAACGATGTTTTGGGAATGTTTCAAACTGTTTCCCGAAATATTCCAGTTTTAATGGTTCAAAAATGCCTGGACAACGTTGGAGAGTAGACAACGTTTTCAGACTGACCATATAAATCTTGTTTGGTATTTCTCCGTCTTTATTTAAAATTATGATCATTGTCGTTTTGAGTACAAATTGCAAACCAAAAATGTACGAATAGAACAAATATCATTATACACTTAATACTTTGTCAATACAACAAAGAGAACGACCTATAAGCTGGGCTGTCTGGTGGTTGTGAAATGTGTAAAATTTTTTGGACAGCCTCCAAGCATTTTAAGTTTCGCCTTTTTTTATCCACAAGCTTCTTGTTATTACAATTGATAATAGTTGTGTTGGTTTTCTTGATTCCAAACAAATTAATATCTCTTTTTTTTCTTGGATGACATTAAAAAAGAATACAATTGAAACAAACATCTTTTTTGGTACCAAACGAAGAAGATGTTGTTATCAATTCATTCAACAAAATCAATTGCATTTTAATCATTTTTTCTAACTCGAGTATTTTGTGTGAATATTGCTTGTCTTTGATGTCTTTGCTTTTTTTGAAAACTTGTACTTCAGTCCCTATTTGATCTTCACTTGTGGTTGATCTTCTCTCCTCTCCTTTCCAACTTTTTGATTGACTTAAATCTTCTTTATAACATTTCATAGAAACAGGTGATCTTTCTTCGTTAACTTCCAAACTTAATCGGCCTTTATACTCCGCCAGCTTTTCAATGATATACTTATCAATATCTTTCTTGGCCTTAAAATGATCCGATACTTTATAATAACCACTCGTCTTCATCAACTCCCTTCCTGACACGAAGATGGTGCCGTGGTTTAAAGCATCGACAATGCATTTCCGCCAATTGTTCTGGACTTGTGATGAATATCTTTGTGATAATTCTTGGTATTACTCATGTTAATAAAAGACGTATATAACAAGTGATTACAATTGAAAACTATAATAAAATTACTCAAAAAAATTATACTAATGATTAAAACAAACATTGTTGGTGTCTTCCAAGGACTTTCCAATGTTGTTGAACGTAAGTGTATATATCATCTTTAAGTGAAAAGTAAGTTTTTGTTGAATTGTTCAATTCGAGACCACGAAGGATAAGCGAGCATATTATTGTCCACCTAATCTTCGTTTTTGGGAGCGACAAATTTGTGGTGCAAATCAAACACCTACATGGCAATTTGTTCATCTCCAAAAAGTGCAAACGGAACAAAGTTTAAATAAGGGTTTTTGCAAAATTCAATTCTTTTATTATGTAAAACCAAGCTTCCTTTTGGTTCTTCTTTAATGAGAAAGGGTATTTTTATCCTTTTTCTAACGTTCGGAAATACAAATAATTGGGAAATTTTCATTGGAGAGAATATACTTATCCATTAGAGATAATAATTAATTATTAAAAATATTGTTCAAGACAAAAAACAAAAACCATTAACATACGACAGTTTCTTTTGAGCTTTAAATTAAGGAATTAGCCAAATTGTATTTTATATCAGAGCAATAATTTTCATTCAAAGAAATTAAAACTTATTTGAATTATTTTATCTCTATTATTCTTTTTCGTCGATTGAGTACAAACTGCCAAACACGCTTTACACAATGCCTCGGAAAAATTTGCTTTTCAAGAAAAAAAGACTGAAGATGCTGTTTTTGCGGCAAAAAAACGTCTTTGGTAAAGCCATTTTTAAAAATACGAAAATAAACGGGACATTAGGTTATATTGAATTGTGATTCCAGAAGATTCAATAATTTTTATCGAATTGTTTTTGATAAATTAACAATTTATAAATACTTATCGATTTTTTATGTTTTATTAGCACAATAAAAAAACATAATATAAATTAACGAAAAGATAAATTTAACGGGACTTACCTTTTACACCCACACCCCGCTATAAATACATATTTTTTATATAAAAATAAAACATTTTTTGTATTTTTTGTTTTTTGAGTCTTGAAAAAAATAGGGTTTTTCTTTTTCTCATTTACATCTAATAAAATAAAACAAATAAAAAGTTTTATATAAAACGTCATTTTTTATTTTTTTGTTTTTTTTTGTCGCATGTTTTGGCGCAAAGTGAACGTTTTGATTTATATTTAACTTTAAAACACCAAATTATATAATAATTAAATAAACCACACTTTTAATATTAACAAATCTTAAACTCTTAATTACTAAATGGAAGAACACTCAACCAAAATCCAAGTACTTTTTACCTTCGATGTAAAAACCAAAGAAGGCAATCCTTATTTGGTTAAGGAAGGGATTGAAACCCCAGACAACATCATCGATTCAATAGCCAATGCGTTTATTTCCTACAACTTCAAAACCCAATCAAAAACAATGGCAGAGGCTTCAGCTATCTCTGTTGCTAACCAGACATTTTCTTTTTTTGTTACTAAAAACAGCGATTCACAAAAACTCAAACAGACATTCCGTTGTGTTTACTAGAAATGTTATTGTACCATTTGTTTGAATTTGAATGAAAATAAAACAATGGTTAAACATATAGTTATAACAAATAATCACTCCCACAACTTTACGACGGATATTCCATTACACATGAGAATTATTTTTTCACAGGAACAAATAAATGAGATGAAAAAACTTGCTATGATACATTATTCCCCATCACAAATTGTCACTACAATGAATCTTGCAGTCAAGCCATCAGTAGTTCGACGTCTTATTTCATCTTCATTCAATAAATATTCACCAGATCAAACACAACAACTATTTTTGTACGCCGAAAAAACAACGCAATTTTCAACTCACTTCACAAAAAACAGTTCAGGACAATTTGTTTCTTTTTTTGCTTTCAACGTTAATCAAATTTCAACTGATTATTCAAATAGAATGTTTATAGATGATACAGCTTTAACTAATGTATTTAATTTGCCTTTGATAGTAGCAGTGTCTTTAGACGAAAAAAATAAAACACATATTATTTTTTATGGTATATTAAGAGATAGAACAACTGATTCGTTTTTAAACTTGTTCAAATTCGTTTCCAAATTTAGAATATTTAATTTGGTTGTGTGTGATAGGTGCATGTCACAGATTTCCGCACTTTCTTCTGTCTTTTCTGGAATCAAATTCGTTTTTTGTCACAGGCATGTTGCAAGAGATCTTATCGTTGCCTTTGGTGAAAGGTCAAATATTGTTCATATGTGGTATCAAATGATTGATAAAACGGTTTCAGAAACAGACTTTGTCAAAACGTTAATGACGATGAGTGGTTCGGATCTCAGTACTGATCAAAATGAAAGAATTGAAGGAAGTGATAACATTATATTAAATGATAGACAAATACTATTTGAAATAATTAATGAATTAAAAATAGCTAATAAAAACGAAAAAAGGAAGACCGTACTAAAAATAAAATTCGATTAATCCAAGGTTTACTTAATGTGATGGACTGCTGGAGACCAAGCGTCATGGAGTGTATTTCAAACAGAACAACTTCAAATGCGATAGAAGGATACTTTGGAGTCTTTAAACTTAAGTTTGGGGGAAAAGAAGTGACTCTTTTGGAATTGGCGCAACTACTTGAAGCAGACAGCATACGTTTTGATTTACAGTTCAATTTTGATTACAATGCGGCTCGGTTGGTGATAGATGAGAATATACTGTACGTTTTACCGAAGGATATTATACACAAAGTCATGACAGAGTATAGATACGCAATAAGTGGCATGGGAATGATTGTTGATGGCACCACTTTATCTTCGTGCAACTGTGACCAATTTATAGAAAACAAATACCCTTGCATTCACTTGGTTACACTGTACTCTATAAAGTGGTGTTTCCCACTTCCAGCCACCCTTTTCAATGAAAAACTTTTTGAAACAACAAAATGTGTCCATTCAACTGAAACTATCTCAGTTGATGAGACAGTCAAGCCATCAAAAAGTCGACGTGATCTACACTTTGCTCTTGAAGCAATAGAAAACGTTTTAAAGGATGACAACACCCTTTTGGTGAGATATTATGAATTTGTCAACAACGTTTTGAAAGGAAAAAATGAGAAAACTGAACACATTGAAGAATTTGTTGTCGAAGAAACAGGGAATAGACTCCGACCCAGTTTAGTGGTCACTAAATCTACAAGTGGTAGGAAGTCGATTTTTATAACAGAAAACGAAGAAAGTAGTAACACCATCGTAAAAAGAAAGTCGCTAGTTAGCACCCAAAAATTTGTTGACAATCTGACTGAACCATCGCGACAATTTCAAAAAGGACCAAGACCCAGAATAATGGTCGAAATGGTGACGCATCCAGGAAGAGTAGTTCCACCGAAACCACCTGTTTTTGGTCAGGGTTTGAATAAAGTTGAACCAAACGCTTCGGTCAAAAGAGTGTACCACTGTAAAAAGTGCGGTCAAAGTGGTCATAATTCGAGAAACTGTTTTTTGAATTAGAAATTACTTTTTTTATTTATTTAATAATAATTTATTAATTAATTGTTTGTTATAAATAAGAATGTTAAAAAAATGTCAATGAGCATTGATTAGAGAGTTTGTGAGCTGTGTCTACATGGTTTCAATTTAAAGCGTCTTGAAAACTTCTAAAAACAACTAGTCTGGTGTGATGATTGATTTTTTGCAACGGATACAACACGTATTTAGAAGACATTTCGCAGTGAAACTTGAAGTGTCACAATAAAAGTACAACATTTTGTAAAACCCGACACTTAAAGAGGCGTATCATTTGTGAAATGCCTCTCTACAAGTATTAGCTAGTTAATCAATACACAGACTGAGTTTTACAAGACACTTGTTGAGAAGGCGCACAAATTCTTTCCAGGGAAGATCCAGATCATGCCGAAGTGCACACTATGCGGATTTAACTGGTTCAATGAGTACTACACTCCCGGTGTATCTCGCATTTCAACAAACATCCATGATAACAACGACTCATCACTGTTGTATACGATGCGTGGCAACTTTGTTGGTGTTGTCTCGGACTCGACACGAGTGCTTGACGTGTTCGAGTTTTGAAAACCCACAGTCGTAATACACAATTGTCCCTGTTCTGTGAATGTTACAGAACCTTTCCACACAAGTTCTGGAACAGCGTCTATGTTCATAGGTTCACCATTTGTGAATGCCTTTCTGATAATCGGAGTGATGCACTGATCCTTTGCCGATTGTACAAATGTGGTGTTCACTTCAAACCTGTTTACGTTCAAAATAGCCTGATTGTCTAATGCATCAAATACAATTTCACCAGCCATGTATTGTAAGAGTGAAGTACCGAATGATTCAAATGCATAAATATGTGATTTTTACAAGCAAAAGTGATCCAAAAGATGCATATTGTTCCACTTCTAAGATGCCCTTCTCAACCATTTCAATGTACATTTGTGTTGCTTCAAATGTACTCAAAGAAACGTCTCTTGTTATTTTGACATAGGATATTACATTATCAATATTGAGGTCTTCCTCCAAAATGATGTTCTTTCCAAGTAAATTGATTTGATTTGTATCAACATAATTATTGACCACAATTTTACACTTTTTACTATCTGCATCATCACCAATACACATCACTTTAACTCCACTCATGTGTATGTTCAATGTATAAATGCCTTATTTCATTATTTAAAATTGTCACACAGTCCTGTTTTACATTAACAATATCATATTCCTTTGTTATCTCTGCATTGTTTTCATATATGACCACACTATTCACAGCGGTTGAAATTTCAATGTTATATCTCTGTTTATACTCTGTACTGGTGTCTTTTCTATGGCAATTTTCCGTGTCAGTAACTGTGCAAAGTACATCATTGGGCATTGAAAACAGATGTCGATGTTGATTTGTTAATCAATGTTTTGAAATTACATTCAAGTAAAGTATCTGTAGGAAAGGATGCACCACTCATTGGCAGTAACGTGTTAATGTGTGGAATGTGTGTAGTTGTGGTTTTTGATGGAAATTTGATATTAAGACCTTCCAAGTTGAATTTATTCACATTGATGATTGAATTTGTTGATGATAACTGTTCAAATATTAAATCAGTGACAGTGATAAAAAGGGTATTTCCAATTAATGCTTTATCATTTCCAAATACTTTGAAAACACTCAGTTGTGATTTTATTGGTGTCAATTCCGAGTAAGTCAATGTAACACTTTGTTTGATACTGACTTCTAAAAAACTTATAGTGTCAAACTGTTTGATAAGTGTATGTGTGTTCCGTGTATTTTGACATTTTCCGTTTTAATAAAATTTAACTTTAGAATTGAGTATAGACTTTCAAACTAATAAATAAGTATGTCGGAATTTGTCTCTGAAGTTTGAAGATCAGCTATATGTAAGGTATCAATGTGATTTCAATTTGTGGTGTTTTAAACACTACTAAGAACAGTCAGTCTAATGCAATGATTGATTTTTGCATCAAATACAACACATATTTAAATATCATTTCGCAGATAAACCGGAAATGTCACTTTAAAAATTTAACATATTGTTGAACTCGACGTTGAAAATATTATATCATAAGTGATGTGCCTTTTTACAATTGAGTGACTTGTCTTTGTTGAAGGAGCCATCACCGAAACATTTCACAACAACACCATTTGTGCACCTTGAGCACTCTAAGTCATCAACATATAGAAAAGGGGGTCAGACGAGCAGTATTTACAAAAATACATTTACATGACTTATGTGTTTACCAACAAATACAACCACAATAAGGTATTTTATGTATCCCAAACCGAACGAACACTCAAAGAAGATACAAAAATGTTGCCACCAACACAATTTGCATTTTCATATACAACATACACGCTAAAATATTGTACTTCACAACACTTGATTACTAAATATATTATGTCGTGTTTTTAATGGTTGTATATTATTAGAAATACAACGATATATTATTCGAAGGCAACAATGTATAATTCATGGCACCTTGTTGCGAGTAGTCATACAAAATATTAACTATTCAATTTTAGAGTAAACCAACTTTTCATTTTTGAACATTACTATTTACATTAAAGCATTTCGTGTATTTTGTTTAGTGACATTATAACTTGTTATTAAAAATTGTTGATTCAGAATAATATAACCAATATACTACATTTTCTTCAATGAAATTTTAAAAAGTATGAAGTACTAAGTATTATTTTTGAAAACTTATTGAAATATTATAAATGTATTATAACTTTATTAACAATAAAAACAATACATCGATGTTGTCTATTAAAAACAAATAACATTTTAATGTAATAATAATAACCATAAACATAAAAACAAACTTCCTAACACCATCGAAGACCACTCTTATCATATATGAAATAACATTTCTAGTAAACACAACGGAATGTCTGTTTGAGTTTTTGTGAATCGCTGTTTTTAGTAACAAAAAAAGAAAATGTCTGGTTAGCAACAGAGATAGCTGAAGCCTCTGCCATTGTTTTTGATTGGGTTTTGAAGTTGTAGGAAATAAACGCATTGGCTATTGAATCGATGATGTTGTCTGGGGTTTCAATCCCTTCCTTAACCAAATAAGGATTGCCTTCTTTGGTTTTTACATCGAAGGTAAAAAGTACTTGGATTTTGGTTGAGTGTTCTTCCATTTAGTAATTAAGAGTTTAAGATTTGTTAATATTAAAAGTGTGGTTTATTTAATTATTATATAATTTGGTGTTTTAAAGTTAAATATAAATCAAAACGTTCACTTTGCGCCAAAACATGCGACAAAAAAAACAAAAAAATAAAAAATGACGTTTTATATAAAACTTTTTATTTGTTTTATTTTATTAGATGTAAATGAGAAAAAGAAAAACCCTATTTTTTTCAAGACTCAAAAAACAAAAAATACAAAAAATGTTTTATTTTTATATAAAAAATATGTATTTATAGCGGGGTGTGGGTGTAAAAGGTAAGTCCCAAATTTAACATATGAATTTTATTTACATATTTTCTTGTATAATTAACACACCGAAAAATAAAATTAATTAACGAAAAAAATAATTAACAATTTAAAAATATTTATCGTTTTTTCTTGTCAAATTAACACAGCGAAAATTTACAAATAATTTAAAGCAATCATAATTAACATCTTACTATTATTAACGTTTTTACATGTTAAATTAACAAACTAAAATGTAAATAATTAACGATAATTCAATAAAAATGTGTATTTCAAATAAACTACATTGTACAATATCTGTTTGTAATTACAAACATTTATTTGTAATTATTAATTAAATATTTTATTTGTTACAGAATCGACGGAGTAAAATATTTAAAACCACAATTAAACAAACATTATTTGATAATTAAACAATACCGTTTCATTGAAATTCTATTTCAAAGAATGACTTGTTATAAATATTTATTTTATTATAAATTATAAACATAAAAAATGAATAAAATGATGTCATGTGCATGATCAACATATAAGACTATGGTCATTTTTCAACATGGAATAAAAATTGCATCACAATTAACAACATTTTTTATAATGATAAATCATTTGTGTTAGAAAAAAATTATTATTTTAAACTTTTCAATATATCTTTCAACCTGTTTATAATTTTGTTGATACTTATTAATGTACAACATAATTGTTTTAGTATTGTATATTTAATTCTGATTATATTGTTAAAATAAATTTATTGTAAAATGAGTAGCATTGATCATTCAACGTGCCAAACAATGACGATATAAGCAGTTGATTTGTCTGGAAAAATACATTTTAACAAACAGTTAGTTAATAATGATATCAATAAAAAAACATGATTATAACTTCTTTTGTATTTTAATGAACAACAAAAACACCAAATTGAAAAATATAAAACATTGTAACGGTCCATTTGTTTCAAATCATAAACCAATAGAAGTTTACGCTTTACTTTGTTTAAACATCAAAAACACAACAATAAATTTAATTTTCAATATATGGACAGTAATATTTAAATAAGGTACAACAAATTGTGTATTAATATATCATTTAAAACAGCTTATATTTTACATATATATAAGTTGAAATCAATAAACACGAAATTGTGACTTTTATGTATTTGAATTTGATTTTTTTGTAAAAAAACTTTTTGACATTTAAACAAAAGTGGGTAAATTCATTACTGATTCAACTTCAATACATATTTGTTGTTTTAAAACATTTCGTTGACAACATATCAACAACAATATTGAAATATGTTAACAAAAAATACACAACTATAGTTTTTAATTCATGTTAATTCTTAGACTACTAAAAATGATTTTAATGTCTTATGTACACGTTTGAGTGAGTTGCAAGTAAAATCCTAAAATTTGTGTAAACTGTGATACTTTTTTAATTTTACTGTTATCTTTTAAACTTTTAGTTTTATGTTACATTTTTACACATCGTAAAGTTACCACTTTTAATATTTTAGGCTGTTTTTATATCATCAGTGTAGCAATAAACGGTAAAACAAAATACACCAACTGTTGTTATCAAATCAATGAAAATTACTAATTAATAAATGCTTCCATTTTAATTAATCATAATAGTTGTAGTATTATCGAAATATACATGTTCACTTTTTGTGTTGTAATATAAAAATGATAAAACGATTGTTAAAAAAATTATTTGGATTAATATCTCGTTTGCACATCATTTTCAACAAAAAACTGTTGATATGAAAATTGAGGATATGGAAGTGATTGCACAATGAAATTATCAACAATTGTTTATGTTTGATTTTTCTTTGTATTAACAAATCGTCAATGCAAACACATATAATTACAATTAATAATTGAAAATAACAATGTCATTAACAGTCATTATTCATTCAAAAATTTAATTATACAATTAAATTTGTATTAACAAATATGTATATCTATTATTAATATATTTAAACTTTTAATAGTGTTGATAACTTTGTTATGTGAATAATTGGAAACACCTTTTTACTAAAAATTAATAAATGTATAATTATTCAAAATTAATTTTAATGATATCAAAATATAAATCAAAAAATAACAGAAATCATCAATTGAAATATTTAATTACGATTCGATTATAACTGTATATATTGTTAATCGTATGTGTATTAACGTAAAACAGACTATTTTAAAATTATATAAATATAAAACTTGCAAACTTTTTTGTTGTTAAAAGTTTGGCATCAAAGATAAACTGTTAGATTCGAATATAATTAATATGATTTATTTTTACAACAAATTTTTATTATTGAAAATGTGTATATCTGTATTAATAAGTATATCATGTAAACTGAATACCTCGACTACTAATAGGTTATAAACCATTATTGATTAAATATTAATTATTGGATTTTAAAAAACAATAAAGAAAATATAAATGATGTGATTGTTTTGAAATTGATAATTGATATCTGATGTGCCTGTTTAATTTATTAATAAATCATTTTTTTGTTTATCAACTACAATAACTTTTAGATGTATGAAATTTTATAAAACTTGTAACAACTCGAATGTTTTAAAAAGAAAGAAAAAATGCAACCAACAGTCAAGAAATTACTTTTATTTTGTTATTTAATTTTATATATTACAACAACACCTGGAATTCAATTATGTTACGTCAAACTA